CAAATTTATTGATACATACTGAAGTGTCAACACTCATGATTAGGGTCTTTTATGAGGGAAAAGTGAACATTATACAGATTATACATTATCCTCCTAAAGTTCCATTAAAATTAGATAATTATAATGTTAGTACATTTAATGAAGCAAATAAAAATGTTACCTTCAACTAAAACAGTTTCAAATGTGGCCAACTTATTTTTTTTCTGCATTTTAAAGTTCAGCAGGTTTCTACTTCATATTTTCAGAGCTGAAAAACACAAAAGTTCAGTTTAAAAACAGCAACCAAACCCACAGGAAGTACAGAGGTGGGGGTCATTTTGACCTGGATTTATGAACACTGACACTGAACACGTGAACATTTTCTTAGAAACAGAATAAAAATGTTTTTGTTTGCCTGAGCCAGCTTCTGAAAATCTGCCTTCAGCTTCTTGTTTGACTTTCTTTTATTTTAACTTTAGTGTGATTATTTTGGCACAAATGTGACTGTCTGATCTGTATCACCTCTGCAGGTTTGGCACTCTGACACTGGATGGGGGCCTGAGAGGATGAGTGGAGTCGAGTGTTGCTGCAGTTTGTACATATTCTGTGTGTTTACTGTGTAAATAACGTCGGACTGTTGAAGACAAAGCTTTTTGTATGAGTCTCTGGAAACTCTGGCTCAATTGCTTAAGTCGCTTTAAAAGAAAAAGATCGGAGAGGTTTTCAGCTAAGGATCGGCAAAGGAATGCAGAGCAGCTTCATCCAATCGCATCGCAAAGAGACCCTGAAACACCTTTGAGTATTTAGGCGGACACAGCCGGGAACAACAGGTTTAGGGAGGGTTTATGTCACGTTTGGAGTCAAATACTTTCGGCTGCAGGTGTTATTGGAAATGATGAATGGATTAAAGATCACCACAGGTGTGTTTACGTTGTTCTGTAGTTTTTCACCTGAAGTGGAATATTTAAGAGAACAGTTTTAATGGATTAAATGTTAATGGTTTAATGGGTAAAAAAATAAATAAAACAAACGTTAACTTCAATGTCTAAGGAGTATTTACTGGACCTTCTTTCAGCAACAGGCTCTGATTAATCTGATTTTACTCTGTAAAAACTTTAAAGCATGAGCAGAATTTGAGATGCTTTGATATAGAAGTTTTAGGTTCTAATTAATATCAGGTAGAAAACATTTAAATCTCTGACTGATGATTCAGATGAAGCTGTTTCCTGCTCTTTGGGGCAAATTAGGCTAACATTATACAGAGTATATTATGGGGTATTTAATATTTTTCCAGCTGGATTAAGGAACATTTAAGGGTTTGAATCTGTGGAAAAATACAAAATGGCATTAAGTTTGCAATTAAAATAATTTTTAAAGTGTTAACTTCTGAAATGTTCAACTTGATCTGAGTTTTTTTAGAGGATTGTGTATTAAATTAGTTTTTTTTTTCCTTTGTTAAGTGTCATCAAATGTATTTATTTCCCTCTAAGTTGCATTAAAGTACTGTATTTATGGGGAAAGCTGGTGTCCTTTTAAAGGCACTGAATTTTATCGGACTGTGGATTGAACAGAATATTTCTGATTAATGATTTTTTTTTTCTCATATGTTAGTCTCTCTTTGTCATACCTCTATCCTTCAGCTGGTCGTCCTTTTCGCTATCTTTGTTTTATTTCTTGTCCATGATTAAAACGCCAAGTGACTGTTTAAATGACCTGTAAATACACCATTCAATCAATCAATAAATAAACTGATCAGGCATGAAGCTGTGTCAGCGTGACCTGTTGAACAGTTTCAGATTAAAAGAGTTGTTTCACACAAACTGCTCCAAAAAAGTGTTCAAGGGCAACCTGATCACAGCTCACCAGACCTCCGTCATGTGCTGGATTCTGTTTATCATTAATGACTTTACAACCTTCAAAGTAAAGATACTAAAAACATGCTGCTCTGATCTCCACCCAACAGCAGGTTTTCAGTTATTAAATACAAGACTGAAGGCAGAGACCCACAAACACGCAGCAGCACGAGGTGGATGCAGTACAGGCCTGAAGAGGAGGAAACACGTGATGCCTGTGGTTTCTAGACTTCAGGCACATCGTGATTGCAGATATTAAAATGTGAGACTGTATAAATGTCTGCAATTCCTAGACAGTTAAAGCAACACTTGTTTTGAAGCCTAAACTAAAAGTGAAAGTTTATACCTCAAACACATCTCCATAGTTTAATTCAAAACCCACTGAAGTGGTGTACCGAAGCAAAGCTGCAAAAGAGCTGTCTTTATCCAGAAACACATAGTCCTCCCTGTAATCTTTATCACAGCTTTAAGAATGAAGCTTAAAATAATAAAGAAATAATGTCAGTCCCTGTTAAACTTTCCAAGCTTTAAAACATTGTTTTAATTACAAAAGGATTATTAGTTATTATTTATTTTAAGCTTGTGCTAATGTTTTTTTAACTAAAAATTCACTATACCGCTGACCTGATAGGTTAATTTGAATTTTCAAACGTATTACGTGTACACACACGTGCGCACAATGGACCAATTAGCGATGTAGTGGCACCAGCTGCGGGCTATCCGGTCGTTAAGTGATGACGTGACAAATCCTACTTCCGGGCCTAAAGTAGTCTGCGTTTAATATGGCTTTTGTGTTGTTAACATGTTTAATGTTATGTATTTTCTTCTATTTAATCTCAAAAAGCTCCTAAAACAGTCAGTGATCACTGTTGGCCTCCCTCGGCTTTTATTACCACTAATCATTTATTTAAGCTCAGTTTTTAAAACCTTAGGATGTAACTACAGCTCAGCCCATGCATGCAGAATGACTAACCTCTTATTGTGGGTGGATTATCTCGGTTGTTCTCCTGGCTGAAGTTTGGTCCTTTTACAGCATCCTGCCATGCGATTACATTTGTTCCTGACCACCGAGAACACTTACGTTAACTTTTATCGAGTGGAAAAAAGTTAGCTTGTTTATATTATGCTAACATAGCTGTGTCGCTAGCGGTCACGTAGCACATTATTAGAGGGAGAGCGAGCGTCAGAATTTCTGTTATAACCTTCATTTTTATGGACGCACAGTGTGAGCACTCAGGTCGCATCAGAGCATCGGGCCGTATAGTGTGAGACCCTGCATCGTGACCTA